GGGGGGTATGGATGACGGATGATTGGGTGTTGGGTCACTGTCAGGTGGGCCCGGATGTGGGATATTCCCCTCGTGGGTCCCTTGTCTTCTTCTTCTTCTTCCCCTCGGCGGCTGCGATGATGCGATGCTTTTGCCGCTTTCGCTGGCTCTCTGCCTTGCCTGGGTTTTACTTCTTCCAGTTACCGGTTTCTGTACAGAAGTAAAAGAACAGGAGTAGAATTGATTCCATCCGCCTAAAAAGATTCCTTTTTTTTGTGTGGTTTTTATAGAGCAAATTAGTTGTTATCTCGATTTATCACATTTTTAATGAAACATGTCATAAGTTTCAAAACGAAACCGTTTTTCGTACGCACGGTTTCCATATAGTTAAACGGTGTATTTTTTTATAAAAAAAGTCTATAGGAAAATTGTTTTTTAAAAAATCATATTAATCCTATCCCCACTGCCTAGCCGTCCGACCCCTAGATCTAGTGGCTAGTCGGGAGCCGAGATGGCCCACGGCCTAGTGTCCTCCTGTCACGACTGATGCGTGAAGCGATCAGTGTGTCAGCAATGGCGAGCAACAGGGTGAAGGCGTTTTCTACATTGACGCTTTTCAGAAGTGAATACATCTTCTACTCTTTATAGATAGAAGTGTCTATGACAAGGTGGGCCCTAAGGGCAAGAGGGGTGGAGTGCGTGAGTATATATACTCCAGCTGTATTGAGAAAACAATTCATGAAAGAAATGAAAAATATCCTCCTCCCCAACTGCTTCCTCGTGTTTCCCCTTTCTACCCTGTTCTTCTCGCCTCTTCTCTTCTAGATCTCCGGCGAACTTCCGGCGAGGGATTCCGCCGTAGATTTGGGTCACAACAACTTGGTATTAGTCGCTTTTGATCCCGGGTGCTTCCTCTCCGTCGGTTTACTCTTGATCGGTGATTCCGGCACTGAGTTTGTGGTTTGCTTTGCCGTAAACTGCAGTAATTCTCGTGTTTGGTTCGATCGGGTTTCCGCGAGATTCGTCACGGCACCCGCAAAGCCCAGTGCTCAAGTTCGCCAGATGGTGGCGGCCATGGCGTCCATGGAGGAGCGGGTTATGGAGGTCCTGAAGGAGTTGTTGGTGAAGGTGAACACCATTGAGGACATCGGCAAGCGTCTTCATCTGATTGACAACAAGTTGGCGCAACAAGGGGAACGTCTGGATCGTGTTCAAACCAAAGTGGATCTCTCCATGACTTCTCTTGGCCAGGTTCAGCAGGAGCAGACGATGTTGGCGCGTGCACTCAAGGCGACCGCAGCTGCGGCTCCGGAGTCTTCTCTGCCAACTCCACCTCAACGTCCGCCGCCGCTGTTGCCGACCCCGACTGCTACTTCTGGTGCGTCTACGTCGGCAACACCACCACCTCATGGTGATTCCCCTCGTGAGCAGGTATCACGTGTTCCTGTTACTACTTCTGCACCTGAGGTTGGAGAGTTTGCGCCGCGTAGACAGTGGTCTCCCAAAATGGATTTCCCCAAATTTTCTGGATCTGATGTGCGAGTGTGGCTAGATAATTGTGAAACATTTTTTCTGTTCTATCAAATTGCTGACGGATACAAGGTTTCGGCTGCGGTGTTAAATATGTCGGGGGATGCCGCTAATTGGTACCAAGAGTGGAAGTTTGAGCAGGGTTGGCATGATTGGCCCATGTTGAAAGCGGCTTTGTTAGGGGAATTTGAGGTGCATTTGAAGTATGTTAAGATGGATGAGTTATTGTTGTTGACTCAGACGGGTTTTGTCTCTGATTATCGGTCGAAGTTCAATCAGTTGGTATATCAGATTCGTCTGTATGATCCTCTGTTGTCTCCCAATTTTCTTATTCGTCAGTTTCTGTTGGGTTTAAAGGATGAATTGCGAGTTCCTGTGCAAGCTCAACAACCCACTTCAGTCACACAAGCTTTCTTAGTGGCTCTAGCTTATGAGAGTGCTTTGCCTAGTTCTGGGAGTAAGAAATCTGTTTCTAAGAAGAACTTTCAGGTGGGACGAGGTGGAGAGAAACAGAAGTTGGCTCCTGGTGAATTGTGGAAGGCTCAGCAGTTGAAAGAGTACCGGAGAGCACAAGGATTATGTTTTAAGTGTGGTGATAAATATATTCCAGGTCATGTGTGCTCAAAACAGGAAACTCCTCAGTTGAAAGCTATGGAGTTACAAGAGGAGGCAATTGTTCTGACTGATGAACTTTTGGATGCTGTTACTGGGTTGGAGTTGTCTGAAGACAGTGCCAATTTGTCGCTTCATGCTTTGGCCGGCACTTCTCACACCAACATTGTCCAACTCAGGGCTCTGTCTAGCAATCAGGTGCTTATTGTTTTGGTTGATTCTGGGAGTTCTCATAGTTTCATTAATTCTGCTCTGTGTCATCGTTTACACCTTCTGTCTGAGCCAATTCCACCCACTTCTGTCAGAGTGGCTAATGGAGAAGTTCTGGTTTGTGATGCAAAGATTTCTCAATTTGATTGGTGGGTGCAAGGCCATCAGTTTTCTTTTCCAGTCAGGGTTTTACCTATGGGGGGCTATGATCTTGTATTGGGAATGGATTGGCTAACTCAATACAGCCCTATGACATGTGATTGGGCTGCTAAGTGGCTGCAGTTTTCGTATCAGGGTTCTCTCATCAAGCTGCAGGGAATTCAGTCTTCTTCTGACTTAACCACTCCTCAAGAAGCTACTCCTGAACAGGTTGTGAAATGGACAAAGGGCAATGATGTGTGGGCCATTGCAGTGTTGGAACAATCTGGTGGGGTGACTATACCTGTGTCTGAATTTCCTGAGATTCAGTCTTTGCTATCTGAATTTGAGTCTGTTTTTCAGAATGTTTCTGATTTACCTCCCCATAGAGCTTTGGATCATGCTATTCCTTTGCTCCCTAATGCCATTCCTGTTAATTCTCGTCCCTATAGCTATTCTCCTGCTCAGAAAGATGAAATTGAGCGTCAAGTGTCTGAAATGCTGTCAGCTAGACTGATTACCACTAGTTGCAGTCCTTTTGCTTCTCCTGTGCTTTTGGTCAAAAAGAAAGACAATTCCTGGAGGTTTTGTGTTGATTACCGGCGTTTGAATGCTCTCACTGTGAAGAATAAGTTTCCCCTCCCTATTGGGGATGAGCTGTTAGATGAGTTGGCTGGCACTAAATATTTTTCTAAGTTGGATCTTCGCAGTGGGTATCATCAAATTCGCATGCTGGAGTTTGATGAGTATAAGACAGCTTTTAAGACACACCATGGCCATTTTCAATTTAGAGTTATGCCCTTTGGACTCACAAATGCACCTGCCACTTTTCAGTGTTTAATGAACTCCATCTTTGCTCCATTCTTGAGGAAGTTTGTGTTGCTTTTCATGGATGACATTTTGATTTACAGTAAATCTTGGGAAGACCATTTACAGCATTTGAAATGTGTCTTGCAGTTGCTGTAGCAACATCAATTTTGTGCCAAATTATCTAAGTGTACTTTTGCTGCTAGTCAGTTAGAGTATTTGGGACATATTATATCAGCTCAGGGAGTGGCCACTGACCCTGATAAAACTCAAGTAATGCGGCAATGGCCAATTCCAACAAACTTGACTGAGTTAAGGGGTTTTTTGGGTTTAACAGGCTATTATCGCAAGTTTGTGCAGAATTATGGGATTTTGGCTAAACCTTTAACTATGTTACTTCAGAAAAATGCTAAGTTTGTGTGGACTGATCAAGCTCATCAGGCATTTTTGGCCTTAAAACAGGATATGGTTACAGCTCCTGTTTTGATATCACCTGATTTTTCTAAGTCATTCACCATTGAAACTGATGCATGTTCCACTGGCATTGGAGCTGTGCTTTCTCAGGAGGGGCACCCTGTGGCTTTCTACAGTAAGGCTTTGGGAGTAAACAATCAGAAGTTATCCATCTATGAGAAGGAGTTCTTGGCTATAATGATGGCTGTTGACAAATGGAGAGCATATCTGTTAAGGGGACCATTTGTTATTAAAACTGATCATCAATCCTTGTGCCATTTGGATGATCAAGTTTTGGGTTTTGAATTACAGAGGAAGGCTATGACCAAGTTAATTGGTCTTTAGTATAGGTTTCAGTATAAAAAGGGAGTGGACAATAAGTCAGTTGATGCTTTGTCTCGGGTGGGACATTTCTTTTCTCTCCAGGCTATTTCTGTTGTGCAGCCTGTGTGGATACAAGAAGTGTTGAATTCTTATGTTGTGGATTCTCAGGCTCAATTACTGCTGATAGAATTGGCCATTTCTTCTCCTAACGGCCAGGGTTTTACTTTGTCTCAAGGATTAATTAAGAAGAATGGCAGGGTTTGGATAGGAGCTAATTCAGCTATTCAAACCAAAATCATATCTGCTTTCCGTGACTCTGCTGTGAGGGGTCACTCTGGAGTTCAAGCAACTTATCAGCGAGTCAAGAAGTTGTTTGTTTGGGTAGGATTAAAGAAATCAGTGACTGACTTTGTCCAACAGTGTGACATCTGTCAGAG